CATAGCACCAGGTTCAGCAACATCAGCAAATTTTTGAAAAAAAGTTTTGATCATTTCGGGACTCTTCTTTCAAAGCACAGCATGCTTCCACACGACCTTGTTTTTGTTCAGCAGTCAGCAGTCATGGCATGAATTTCGCAGCCACCCTTTTCATTCCCAAATCTTCTGTCAAAATTCGCTGAACTGAGCTCCAAGTCACTCCTGACAGCTCCACAATTTCTTCAATGGTCCATCATTGATCTTCCTTGATGGTTCCACGAATTTTTTCAACATTTTCATGTGTTCGGGCTGTGGAAGGACGACCAGAATGAGGTTAGTCATCAGTTGACATTTCACCATTTTTTAAACGGGAAAACCACTCAAACACTTGAGTTTTCCCCATAGCATTGTCCTTGTATGCCGTTTTTAACATTTCAAGAGTTTCTGTTCCACTTTTCCCGAGCAAAAGCAGAATTTCACCGCCGCATGCTGTTCACGAAAATCAGCCATTGCAAAAACGACGATCACACAAAACAGTTGTCACCATAAACTCTGCCGAAACTAGTCCTTACCTTCTGAAGCAATGGTAGTCGGCTTATCGACTCAGGAATGTTAGCTCTATGCGCTCATAGCGGCAAAACATGGTACTACAAAAGCTCTGCCCACAAAAAAATTAGTTTGGTTTCTTTTGGGTACCCCATAGTATATCCAAGACTGTTTACTGACATAAAATTCTCAGCTGAACACGTATTAAAACGTGAATACAGTCCTGTAACTGACTATTTGTATACATAAATGCTTGTATGGATATTTGTATTAAAAGAGCCAATTCTTCAAACTGGAAGTATTTCCTTAACCTAAGCTTCTGTTGTGTTGTACAAAGGAACACGTGACTTAAAATTATTCAGTAAATTGTCTTAATATAATACATGGATTGAGACCTATGACAAAACTAGAATATTGTGAAGGAACATTAGTTCACATCAGTGACAATCAGTGCTGCAGAATACAGCTTCATTTTTTCTCTTTGCATTCAGAAATTTTATTTTGCAAGTAACAACCTTACATTGGTGCCATTTATATGACACCTGGGATCACCCCTTTCTGAGGACGAATTAAATCTTTTTTTGGTACTATCTGAAAATCAATGTATACAACCAGTAACATAAATGTTTGTGTTGATACAGCATCCTTCACTGCTTTGAAGGTGTCAGTGTTCATTTGTGTTACCTTAGTGAAGATAAATAATAGAAGTTGTTTTGCTTGTTCTTATATAGCTTACTCATTTCTTTGTACAGTTACACATGAATATATATTTTGGAGATGAAATGTCACATACAGTGAACAGTGTAAGCTTCCAGCATGGTAGTGTGAATTGCACAGTAAGTGGAGTTCTTGGAAGGAAGTGTGGGAAATGAACATAAAGGTACATATAAAAATTGGACTTAAATAATTGCTCTTTAAGTAGGAAATGAATATCTTGGTCATAAGCTTCTAGTCAAAAATGGAGAACACTATCTTTATAAGATTAATTTAGAAAGGAAGTTAAATGCCATAAACAGTTAAACATTATGAAAAACTTCTTGAAGATATGGAACATTTCATAGTTAATAGAATTATTTAGAAGTAACTGAGACATTTGCAGTGTTAGTATCAAAATGTGAGAAACATTTGAACTAACTTTTTGTAACCAAGTAATTTTTGATAGGCATTTTGACAGGTATCTAGAAACATATACATATACATTAATAACAAATATCTGAGTTCAATGTCTGGTCCATGGAATTCTGGTAGTAAAATTTAGATACATATAGTAAATGCTATTATGTGCATAATTTCAAATGGAAATTCTACTCATGGCTTGATTCTGCAGCCAGGTTTGATGTTTCATATTTGGATAATTGAACGAGACTGGCGAAGTGTTGATCTGACTGTAGTTCCTCTTAAAAATAAGGGCAGTGTTGAAATTGCAACATGTACTGGAGAAAAATCTAGTCTTTACTCAACTCACCTACATTATGTTTAAGTTTTTCTATCATAAATCTATGAGTTATTTGAAGTGTACTTTCTACCCCATAACTGTATGAATTACAGTTATAAATCACTTTTACCTGCACATGATGTGAAAAACAAGTGTTATTTTCTGTGCAGCATGAACTATATCTGAAACTACCACTTCCTAGCATTTACTCTGCATTCACTTTGTGTATGGATCACATCTGACAAGACTCATAATTTTGTGACTATTTAGATTCTGTTATCAGTATTTTAATAACGATTAAACTATCCATTTCATTTATATTTTATTTAAATCACCTTTTTAGTATGATCTTAACATTAATATTGTATTGTGATTACATTTATAAATATGATTATTACTTTCTTTATTAGCTTACCAAACTGATTTCATGTATCAACCTGTGCTGAGTAACATTTTGACTTTCATTTTTCTTGTTGAATAACAACTGTATTACTTCATTCCACGTTCCTCAATAACATCTTGTCAGTTTTCTGAAGTCAAGAATTTATAATTTGGAAACAGAATTTGAGAGTAATGATGAAGGAATCCTAAACATGCTGTACACATATGTATGAAAATTAAATGTGTCTAATTCAGGAAAAGAATTGTACTTGAATGCAAACTAATCAAACAGTTCTTTTTGGTTATTTCTGTCCAAGATAGAAAGATGTATGGATGATGTATGAAGGGATTAAGTCAATTTGGAAGGAAAATTTAAATTAATTAACTCCTTGATGTACCGCTCAATTTTTTGCACTCAAAATAATTATATAAAATTATAACTATATTTAAAAACTAATGTCTCAAATATTTAACATGATTTCTGTGTAAGTGTACTACATATGTTGTACAGTAAGTAAGCTGTTTGGACTATCATGTGGTGACTTTTCACAGCCATAAAAACAGCAAGTATTGCCTCAGTGGGCAAGTGTCCAAAAGCCATCAAAATGTAATACTTAAAAAGGATTGTTAATTGGATTATCATCAGCTTGATCTCTATTACTGACAATATCTTTTTGGCATACTTTTATGACTGTGAAATGTCTGCACATCCAATGAACTGAAACTTCACTGGATGAATTCTTCCATCATTTTTACTTGACAACAGGTTTTATATAGGCATTTTGAGTAGATAAGTTTACCAGTGGCTTAAAGGCAAATTTTATCACAAATTTTGAAAAGTAAAAGTGGAATCCAAGTTGAAATGGCTTGGATTCTGTATGACCGTGAATGTACTATTCCAGCTTGCAAGAACTCACATCAGCCCCCATATCATGAGTGCTACTGAATATCTTTGTGTGATATATTGGAATAATGCTAGCTAAGTGTACATGTGTATTGCTTGTCTGCATCACACCCCTGGTGGGTGTTCCAAATGGAAGAAACGCAGTTGTAATATTTCTTGTCTTTGGTTTGAATTTTCCCTAAGCAGTATGCAAAGGAAAAGCAAGCTTAAGTCTGTGATTTGTAAAATGTTAAATTGAAGGTGGGAGGAGGAAAAAAAAGAATGTTGATATGAAACCCATTTGTAACATTTATATGATGGATGTTTTATGATATTATTAATTTTATTTGTATTTATAAATAAATAATCATTTAAACAGATTTAATGAAAGATCTTAATTATAATGACTTTAATTCAATAATGTAATGTGTACCCAGTCCTTTGTTTAGAACTATGTAATATGAAATTTCCTAGATCACATATTATGGAGACTTAGGGCACTGATTGGATGTAGAAATCTGTAATATTCAATATCCTGAAAACTGTACCTCAATGTTCTACGTACCAAGCACGTTAACACGTGTTCAAATGTGTGGACTAACTCTACATGATTAAACAGATCAACGTAAGTGCGGCAATTGGCAAAACAAGCTCTTCTGCTGTATACATTTAGGAAATCAGTATTGTCACATGTTAGTGACTAGACATGGGTTTTGGATAGGTCATTGGATTTATTGAATGCTTATAACTACTAACATCTTATAGCTATTAACAGGCTCACTGACTTATGTACTATAGATCAGTACAACTACAGCACACAGCCTTCTGTCTGGCCATTGGTCATTGCTAGGTAGCTGCTGCTAACAATGCAACACGACAGACTTGCTTGTCCAGTACCAGTTCAATCCAGTAAACTTCTGCTAGCCATCACCAGAACAGTTCTTGATTTTGGTCCCTCTTCGGTCCCATGACCATATTTTTGTTCTTTCCTGACTTTTTACATGTTCTGAAATGGCATCTCCTCTTCTATGAGAGGAGGGGTCTGACTACTGCTGTTCACCCACCCACTCAGTCAGTCAGAGTCAGAGTTACTTCATGACTGGTTGTTTGCTGCCAAACAGTTCATCTTGGCGTGAAGCCCCGTGAGGATCCTGACCAGAGATTTTTTTTCAACTGAACCCTTGTGGTCATAGTCCTTATGTAACATCCTGTCTGATCAGAGGATGTGTTCATTTCTTATGAATATGCTTGGCATTATTAAGTTATCACACATCTAGCATGTTATTGAAAATTCTTACTCATACTTGTCTTATGTTACAATGGCAGCATAGTCACTTGAGCAATCGTAAGCTTGACCACCGTCAAGTTTAAGACTTTTATATTTTCTGTGTCTGTCTCTGCCTTGTCCTATACTGTGGACATGTTCATTCTCGTGATTTTCAATGACTTCTGCTTGTTGCCTGCACAATTTTATTGCATAATCTTATATGTGTGGAAGGTTGAAAGCTGTGTGCAAATCATGGACTTGTGTTCACCTTGGAAAATTTACATTTTCAGTGATGCTGTGCCTCAAAACACAGCAAAAAGGAAACAACATAAGAAGCTAAAAAAAAAGGGAGCATCACTGCAAGGACCTCTGAGGACTCCTAATAATACCCCAATATTCAGTTTTAATAGAAGAGGCACAAGGACAAAGACCATATCAGTTCAAGATCTTAGATATTAAACATTGATTAGATTTTATTCCAAATAATTGTAAATAACTTTTATATAAATTACTTCTAAGTATGTAATATGAAGTTGATTTGTTTCATTCTGGTCCATCACACTAATAATATCATGAAAAGTTAAACAGTTCTGTCTAGTGTGACTGATGGAGATTTTTCTTATTTAAATTATTTATGCCCTTTGTTTCGGCCTTCAGAGACCATCATCAGAGGGACACCTTTACATCAATGCAGTTAGAAGCAACTACTTCCCTCTGGCCATGTTGCCAACCAATAACATGGGAGTTTCACGGGGCTGCACATGAGAGCGCTCACCAGGCCATATAATTCTGCGCATTACTGTGCAGTTGGCTCCACTTCCTCCGTCCACCCAAACACCTGTGTTTCAGTCTTTGACGTCTAAGCTCTGTGTTATGTCATGTGCAATGGCCGTCCGGTTGTTCTACGTTTCGTATTGCCACTCGTTTGTAGTGTGATTTTGTAAATTATAGTGTATTGAACTCTAAATATAATGGCGTCTGTTAAAGTGGCTGTACGAGTTCGTCCCTTCAACCAGAGGTACGTAGTTTACTTAAACTCTTGTTCGTGCCATATCTTCGACCACTATCAAGTTAACCTTGTATGCATGTAATTATACATATCAGAGAACATTAATCTCTTTGAAGACTGGGCATGACATTTATTTGCAGGAAGCAAGACCGGGTTGATTTGAATTTGGGTGCTGCAGTAGTTCATAGGAGTTATAGGATTTGAGGTTCTCACAGCGGTTGTCGGCCTTGTAGCCCCTTGAAAATCAACCGATGTTTCGGTGGAACATGTAACAAGCCTGCTTCATGCTGGTTCCTTGCTTGGCCTGCTCGACCCTGAAGATGGAGGTGACGTGTTCCTACGAAACGTCGGTTGACATTTAGCGGGTTACACAGTGTTGTATCCAAGAGGATGGAACTCTTCATAAAGAGTTGTCAATCCACCCCGGTTCAAAAACACGATTTTTAGGCGGCAAATTGAAAATCGGTGTCTCCCATTATTCCTGTAGGCGTGTTTACATATTGAGTTCCATTATTTATGGCTGTCATAGTGAATATTCATGGTTACAGGACATTGCATGATCTTGATTTTCTGTAGAATCAGTTTCAGCTTGCAGTTACATTTCCAATTCAATTCAATTTATTTCAAATTCAAAAATAGATCCAGATACAGGCTGGGAAGCCACCATTGGATATAGAATGAGTCACAGATCAAAAAACAAACATTCCATTCCCACAGGAACAAGTCAAGGCATTCATAATATAAAACAAATAAAAAAGAACATATCAGCCATATATATAACAAAATTCCCCCAATTTACAAAAACAACGCAGAACCAAGACACCATATTATAGAACTCTCAAAGGTTTCAGGCGTCAGTACAAGCTCTTTTTTTTCATTTTCATTACTCATCTATTATTTCCATAAAATCCAATACTTTAGGATGTGGAAAAGTCATGTTAGATAAATAAGCAGTACAAAGAACTAAGTCAAGACATAAGAATAGAACCAGAAAACAATTAATGTTACCGGCAAGTATATACAAGAAATTCATCCACACTATAAAATGGGTGAAAACTGAAGAATTCTTTTAATTTTAATTTAAACCGTTTAATATCTTTATATAAGCAGCATCATTCTTAGCATATAGTAAATTTGAGAGTTTCAGAAGCTAATTCTGAATGGGGCCTAATCCGTAAAAGGTGAAAGAAGAAGTTCCATTGTAACTGTGTGAATGAACCATGGGCTTTCTGTGTGTTGCAAGCGTTTGTTTTCTGCAACATTTTGCCTCTATCTACTACCGAGTGGTATGAAACTAACCAGCCAGTTGGTTAACCCCATACAGCACAAACCTTCAGTCACTCAGCTAGTCAAGAACTTGCCATCTATGAAACACAGAGTTTCACTACAAAAGCATTCCTGTGGCCCCTATTCAGAGCCAGATTAAACCATCGTATTTGCTTATGATCTGCTTTACTTATTATCGTTTTATCTATTGTTAGGTTTTCCAAGTGGTCTCTTCCCTTTAGATTTTTGTATGCATTTGTTCCTCCTTGGATGCATGCTACATGCTCTTCTCTCTCATCACTTTATCATTATAATATTAGACAGTCTGTTCAAGCAAAGTCTGTTAGTAAGTGTGAGCTTTCTGACTGGCAAGGAATTAGAGCAGTGCAGTTACAACCCAGTGCATGACTTTCTGTGGTTAGAGTTCGTCAGTGTGGATGAGCATATGCAGAGTGCATGTTACTTACGCCGTTTCTTCTTCTAATAATCACTACCGCCACCACAATAATCATAATCATAAAGGCGTTATAACTGTTGTCTTTATGATTTTCTTTCCCAGTAATATAACATAGTATCTGCACAATGCTGTTTCCATAATTGGTCTTGTAGCTGTTGAATCCACATATAAATACTAAATAATTACATTTAATTATTGTTATTAATATTATCTTCAGCCGATCATAATGGCCGCTCTGTTTAAGGTATGGCCCCTCTTCGCCCGCTCGAACGCTGGGATCGTGGCTTCGAATCCCACTTGAGGCATGGATTTCTATGTGCGTTTATTCTGTTTTTGTATAGTTCTGTGTGTAGGTAGCGGCCTTGCGACGGACTGATCCCCCGTCCAAGGAGTCCTGTAAACTGTGTATAGGATTAAGAAACTGAAAAAGCGGCCAAGGTCCAACAAAGAACTGTAGGGCCACACAGAGAGAGATAATATCATTATCATGCTTTATTTATTTATTTATTTATTCTAATTTAATTTCCATCTTCATGATATTTTCAAATTTAATTTCAGGTTTCATATCGGTTTTCATTTGTGTATTTATTTTATTTTATTTTATTTGAACGAATGTTCTGCAGTACTCTGAAACTGCAGTATGCAGTCGGAACTTTTGTGTCACTTCGCAAACTCTTTCGAAGCTGCATGTAGGTATAACTAACAAGGTTAGTGTAAGACTGGGAAGTCATGTATGACACTGTATTTTTATTTTTTGGGTTGGGTCAATCAAGATAATTTTGTTGAAGGTAAATTTTATGGTGAATGTTTGCCAGTGGTTAGGACTACAACTAAACTGGCCAATTACACAAATGGTCAAAGATTTCCCAGTGTTTATGTGACCTGAGCAGTCACTGTGGTCTCATAATCCATCTTGAAATGAATTGTGATACAGTTCACATTTTCACAACTTCTTTACGACACCTCCAGCCAGTGCCGAGGTCAAGAAAATGTAGATCTATACATCCACTCCCCCATAAGTCTTCATGGCGTAGTGCTTAATTAGTTAAGCACACTTTACCTTTACTTCTTTAAGAAGTTTGTGTAAAGAACCGTTTTAATATTTTTTTTTCTTTGAAAGTAATTAGACACAAGTGTTTGACGTATTAACGGAATTATGTATTTATAGCATCCAAGACTTTCTGTTTTATAATTTATTTTCACAAGGCCACATGTTATAAGCATGTCATTGCTATGTTACGCTGTTATAGAATTGAGATTTTTGTATGTATGTGATTAAAATTTTCGAACCATCTCCAAGGCACAGGACATTTTAGTATGGAGAAGAAAGGCCCTTTTACTTCTACATTACGTGCGAAATATTTAGTTTTTTTTTTAAATAAAGTTTGAAACTGGATAGGATTATGGCAGCACCATAGTTCTGGCGGTTAGTCACAGGCTTCCGTTCATTGTGGCCCTGGTTCGATTTCAGGTCAGGTCATGTGGGATCTCTGGTGGGAAAAGTGACACTGGGGCAGGTTTTTGCCCCGTACTAAGGTTTCCCCTGCCAATTCTCATTCCTCCGACTGCTCTACATTCGTTTATAATCCCGTTACCAACGCTATGTGGCATGATACCGAAAGCCTCGTTACATAACCAGCTTTAACAAAATGAATAGCATTAGGGGCCCAAATATGGTTATGAAATTTGAACACTTGAGCAGGCAGAAGGATTAACTTCATTTGCGGTAATTTCCCGTTCAAGATAAATGTCCAGAATTCCAGAATGTTTATTTACAATCCCGTACAGGAGACTCTGAGGAGATCCAATGGTGTCGACTTTCTTTAAAAGTAGGCCTTAACCTTAACCTTAATCTGTACGAAAAACTGTAGAGCCATTTCAGATTTCGTTTAGATCGGACAATTTTAGCGACCGCTTGAAGACCTACACGTGGCTCTGCGCGTGTCTCAGAAGTAACTCTCGAAAGATTTATCGGAGCGAAAAACATTTCGAACCAAAGTTGTAGTGATAACCGAAACACGCGTTTTATGTTCAGTAAGATTTTTCGTAAATCGTACCGTTTTCGAGGTAATTGAACAAATCGGGCGCTATTCGTATATTTAGAATTTCTGTATAGGTTTATTCGTCTTTTTCGACTATTCGAGCGACTATTTCCCCCGTCAGTAGCACGGATACTCAGAACTAAACTGTATAATTCATTTCCCTGTTAACACTGTTTAAAGGGATGTAAGTGATAATGTCGAACGTCGAACGCGTGTTGTTGCGTGTGTGGTTCAGAAACGCAGTTGTTCTGTACGTAGAGAAGTGTTCTGTCATCATGGCGTACAGTATGAAATGTGTTCACGATTTTACCATGAAGATGTAGGCAGCTGGTTTCATCGAGACGTTGGTTAATATCTACACGGCGTCATGTCCTACAAAATGGTATATTCATAGTAACCATCATGAAAACCACCGATCTCACGAATGCTTTATGTTGTTTCATCTAAAATGTAGGTCATATTTATATTTCTGTTGTTTTTGTTTCGTTTTTAGGGAACTAGACATGGAGGCCAAACTTATAATTCAGATGGACGGTAAGAAGACCAGGATATTCAATTCCAAGGTATGTTAGCATGCTTGTTACCGGTGCTACTGCCTTCTGACGTATCATTTCTTACTTGCTCACTCCTCCTGCTTCATAGATGAATATTTCAATTCTACGATAAAGTATATTTCTAAGCATGTTACTGGGCCGTGCCATAGCTCAAGCGGTTAGTCGCTGGTTTCCCACCGCAGCGGCCCGGATTCGATCCCGGGGGCTGATCAAGTGGGATTTGTGGTGGACAAAGTGGCGCTGGGGTACGTTTTCTCCGAGTACTTCGGTTTCCCCTGCCAATCTTCAGTCCACCAATTGCTCCACAATCACCCTCACCTATTATCTGGGGCTGGTACAATAGGCCAGAAGTGGCCGCAGTACAAGGGACTTAGTCCCACCCCACTAGCATTAAAAAAAAAATAACATGTTACTGTATCAATTGCTTATTTGCAGACTGTGCCTTATGTATCTAATTAGCATGGAACTATTAATACTTTATTGTGATCTTATTGACGTTTGAAGCGAAACTTTTATTCTACAGATACTAATGAATGAATGTATATAGGGTGGACCTCGGCTCTTGCACTGCGACCTACGGTGGTCTATTATGCTTAGTACAGATAATTTGTATTCTAATTCTGTTTCCCTTATCATTTCACCAGAAGTCATTTTTGACTCTAGAATTTCGAATGTCAACCTTGATACTGTTGTACAGGCGTGTTCTGCAAATTACTCGTATATGACTTACAATCAGGTGACAGACGTTCTGGCGTCATCATTTTAAAGAGGTGTGATCACGGTCTTACGCGTTTGGTCATGTGACACAAAGTTCTGCCTCGTCCACGTGATATTCTGCATATCTGTTTAGAATTTATTATACTGAAATCCTCACGGAACATTTTTTCTCGAGGTTCTCCTTTTACCCTGCCGCAGATTCCGTGTCTTGTATCGTCCACAAGTTATCGTTTCCTTTCGTCGGTTATTTTGCTACACTCTCATAAGCCAGACATGGAGTGTTAGGGCGGTAGATGACTTCAGATGGACTTGAAAGTAAGCGATCATGGCCTAAAGGTTCGGCCACACAGAGCGCTACATACGCGACGCACGCTACATACGCTATGTTCGCTATACGAACAGAAAAATATCTCCCTTTATTGCCAATGTGACTGGCCACACAGACTTTTCCGTACGCTACGTACGCCATGTTCCCTATGTTAGCTGCGTCGCAGAGTGTACACAGCGTACGTAGCGTACGTAGCGAACATAGCGTAGCGCTCTGTATGGCCGAACCTTAATTGAGATATTATCCCGGCATTTGCCTGGAGAGTTCGGGTAAAAGCACGGAAAACTTGTCATGATAGCCGGTACTGCTGCCTAAATTCGAACCGAGCACCTCCTGCACACAAGAGTAGGGCGTTATCGCTATACCAACCCCCTCGGCGTTTTTGTTCTTTCATGATACTTGTACTGGATGGGTATGCCCATGTACAGAATGATTCTAAATTATTGTTGGGGTTTCCATGACCTATAATTTTTAAATCTGAAATAACAAAATAAAACTTCTTACGGAATATGAAAGTGTAACTCAAAAAGTTTTATTACATATAGATTTAATACTGCAGAATATAAATAAATTCCGTAAGCGGCTTTATCTTTTTGTTTCCGGTTTGAAACTTGTAGGCCACGGAAACCCCGACAGTAATTTAGAATCACATTGTATAAGTTTTTATTCGGTTGAAATCATTTTAAGGGCCACTTAAGGGTCTAAATGAACATTGCGTATTTATTTTCACTGTTTTTGACAGATTTTTAATGAAAATCAGCATTTTGCACTTCCAGTACACAGGCGTTACTGTGTGCGAAATTAATTCGCTTAAATTCTTAGACAACAGATGCAGGCTACAGGCAAACGGAAGGAACTTTCTAAAGTCAAACCGAACGGCGTGCTTGGCCTTTCTTCTTGTTTGCTGCCAATCAGATTACATTATATCCATAACGGCTTCTAATCTGGAATGGAGTCTTTTGATATTGCTGACCTTTTTATCGCCGGAAATTTCCCCTAAAAATTAATCTTTTGTAACTAACGAAGACACGCGGTTACATAAATTGTACTAACGCTTGAAAGTGAATAGTATGGCACCTTACGTTTTAAATGCGTCACTTATATACTTCAGACTGACCATATGGAAGTATAAACGTTAGTCATTTTTATGCTTTGCGTTCTGTTCTGTATATAGATTAGGGGGTTGTGTATCGTCACGCAGTACGTTGATTCTCTTGTATATATATTCTAGAAATTAGAATATACGAAACTATAATTTTGTCTGTGGTTCTGTATGGGTGTGAAACTTGGTCTCTGATATTAAGGGAGGAACATAGACTGAGGGTGTTTGAGAACAGGGTGTTGAGGAGAATATTTGGACCGAAGAGAGATGAAGTGACAGGAAGTTGGATAAAACTGTATAATGAGGAGCTTCATAACTTGTACTCTTCACCAAATTTAATTAGAATGATCAAGTCAAGGAGGATGAGATCGGCAGGGCATGTAACACAAATGGGGAGAAGATGAATGCATATAGGAGACTGGTGGGAAAGCCAGAAGGAAAGGGACCACTGGGAAGATCATGGCGTAGGTGGGTGGACAATATAAAATGGATCTTAGAGAAATAGGATGGGATGGTATGGATTGGATAGATCTGGCTCAGGATAGGGACCAGTGGAGGGCTCTTGTGAACACGGTAATGAACCTTCGGGTTCCATAAAATGCTGGGAAGTTCTTGAGTAGCTGTACAATTGGCGGCCTCTCAAGAAGGGCTCAGCTCCATGAGTGACTGAGTGGTAATAAGCAACTGAACATAACATATCAATGGATCAGTTAGTATCAACTCCCGTTTCGTAATCTGTCGTCCAGGCTTGCGTTTCAACAGTGTAAAGCTCTCTTTATGTAACAACAAGAACTGCTTCATAGTCCTGATTCATGCCCATTTCTTTGAACCTTGATCTGCTTAGCAAACTTCACTGGAACTTACGGTGTTAGGACTGGGCCCCTGGTTAAAACATTACAAACACGTCTTTGTCTATACATTGCTTTTTTCCTGAGGGCAAAACATACCGCAGCCCTTGGTTTATTTGAACTACATTCTCCCATCTGTCAGACTCCATCCAGGTTAGGCTAGGAGTGTGTTACGCAGGGGTTTTTGTTGACACAGTTGTCTGCTTCTGTACAGCTCTTAACAGCCACGCGGTAGCGTAGTTGGTTGAGGCACTATGCTACAAACCTGAAGGTCGCGGTTTCAATTCCCGGTGAGTTCATTGGATTTTTCAATTGACCTAATACTTCCAGCCGCACTATGGCCCTGGGTTCGGCTCGGCCCCTAACAGAAATGAGTACCAGGAATCTTCCCGGTGGTAAAGGGCGGCCGGTGCGTAAGGTTTACAACCTAACCGCCATCTCTGAGCCGTTTGTCTAGAAAATGTGGAACCTTCAACGTCTCACAACCCTATGGGCCTCCATGACCTATTACAGGGATAGCTTTACCTTTCTAACAGCAGAACTGACTATTTGTGATCTTCTCGTCGTGAAATTGCGTGTAATGGGCTGGATTTGAGTTTCATAAATCGGTGACTGTGAAGAGTATTATGTTGTGGGATGTGACGCCGTGTAGTTCGGTAGGAGGTCATCAGGCTACGTGACGTTACATGTCAGTGGGCAATATTATTCATGTGTAATGAGTTGTGTATGATTTTTACACCTGACTTTTAGCAGTAAGAAGTAGTGAATGACCAGGAGGTTACCAGCACCGGGTTTCATGTCCGTGGATTTGTCACGGTGAAGGGTTACTAGTCTGCTCCGTATGTTGGACTTCCCAGGCTCAAGTTGCAACAGGTAGACCTGCTACTTAGGTTTCTTTTCTGTTTTGTTTCATTCCCCACACACAGAAACCTCGATGGTCCTTCAGGATGTCCATGACGGCTTCCTACCGTATCTCTTCGTATTCATGACCGGATTTTGTTTCTTTTTATGATGTATGGCGTCTGAAGTTGGAAGGACGTCGTTTAATGAAACGCGAATTAGTGACATTGACAATTAAATGTGCTGAAGTTACGACTTCAAACGCTACGCGACTTAATAATGATATATTTCTCTCTTGCTCCCACTTCGGAGCGTAGGGCTGATTTCTCAGTTTCATGATCATCCTTGGATGGGTGATCAGCTAGTCGCAAGGCCTCTACCTAAACACAGGACAACACAAACACAGAATAAACTCACACACACCCACACACCAATGCCTTGTATGGGGTTCGAACACACGATCCTGGCTTCCAAGCGAGCGAAGACAGTACATGCCTTAGACNTTATGGGGTTCGAACACACGATCCTGGCTTCCAAGCGACCGCTCGGCTACCGTAGGAAGAGGTACATGGAGGTAGGCCAAGGCCAAAATTGGATCTGTAGAGCCAAAAGGGGAAAAGAGGGCCAGAAGGATACTTCAGAAAGCTGTTTACATCTTTGTCAACAAAGTAAAGTTGTCCCTGTGCCCCACTGATCAAGCACTACGCCGTTGAAGGCGCATGGGATACTGGATATATAGATCCACGTATTATTGACCTCGGCACTAGATGGAATTGAGTGGTCAGCTTCCCGCCCCGGCAGCTTTATCGACTCTGGGAAAGAGCCCCTAGTACCCATTGCACAGGAGGCAGGGTGGGCCCCAGAACTGGTCTGGATGGCGTGGAAAGAAGTGAAATCTTGCCGTGACTCGAACCCCGACCCGTCAGCCATCCAGCCCGTAGCCAGTCGCTATACCCACTGCGCTATCTCGGCTCCTCTTTGTCAATAATGGCTTAAATTTCTTACGTTAATTTACCAGAATTTGTTACAAGTGTCCGGTAATAGAGAATATAAGTGATTTTTGCATGTCTCAGTTGCACTTCATGTGAAAACATATTTCCAGCCCGAAACAATCTTTCTCCAAATTATGCAGTAGGTATGGACACAAACATAGTAATAACAAGTATTATGCCTTATAGTACGCCCATAAAAATGATTACTTGAGTTTTGAACTTTTTCCATCGTCCGGAATTTTAGGTAATAAGAGGACACGACGTTTCGGAAACTGGATCTGTTTCCGTATTCAGGTGAGAAAAGAAGACACCTAAGGGGCCCATCTGAGTAGGTGTCTTCCTTTCTCACCTTAAGACGGAAACATCCAGTTTCCGAAACGTCGTGTCCTCTATTACCTAAAATTCCGGACGATGGGTAAAGTCCAAAACCCACTTAATTCTGTGAGTCATCCACCATCGTCAGAACCCTTTAGAATCTACATANAGGGGCCCATCTGAGTAAGTGTCTTCCTTTCTCACCTTAAGACGGAAACATCCAGTTTCCGAAACGTCATGTCCTCTTACCTAGAATTCCGGATGATGGGTAAAGTCCAAAACCCACTTAATTCTGTGAGTCATCCACCATCGTCAGAACCCTTTAGAATCTACATAAAAATTATGTTTCCGCGCAGAACAAATCTGTAATGAAATACTCGACACAGTAAGACAATTTGTTATCACGGGTTTTTATGATATATGGAGGTTGCGTATTCCTCTTTAGCAGTTACGGATCGCTCATTGTGCGCGGAAGACCTCGCTTCCTTTGTTTTGTGCCTTCCATATCGTTCAGGTGTTGTGCAGTAATCACCGACAGTGTTAAGCGCGGTCAAGTGATACGCTAGCTTACGTGAGGACGTTAATTAACACAGTTCCGTCCGCATAACCACACAGCTGCACCTTCTGTTGGAGTGAGGGAGTTTATATTAAATTAACATTAGCTAAACGACTGCTAGGTTATTACAGCAGCACCACTAACTGTCGTGGTCCCAGTGCCGTTCTTATTCGGGGAAAGGATGGGACAAGGGAAATTTCTTTGACTGCAGCCAATATTTGTAACCGAAAAACTTCAAAACGAACAATTTGTGTTAGTTTCCGAGACGTGCCTACAGAGCGCGACGGACAAACGGAGGCTACTGTGGCTCATGTGTTTGTATATTATAGTACAATGGCCGCGCCATAGCTCAAGCGGTTAGTCGCTGGCTTTCCACCGCGGCGGCCCGGGTTAGATCCCGGGTCTGGTCAAGTAGGATTTGTGGTGGACAAAGTGGCGCTGGGGCAGGTTTTCTCCTGGTACTTGGTTTCCCCTGCCAATCTTCATTCCACCAATTGCTCCACAATCACCCTCACCTATCATCTGGGGCTGGTACAATAGGCCAGAAGTGACCGCAGTACAAGGGACTTAGTCCCACCCCACTAGCGATAAAAAAATAATACACGTTATATATTCGTGGCTGCCTCTGTGGTCTTGTCAGATTTTCTGGCTACACATCCAGAGGTTCGGGTACGATTCCCGGCGCTATCAGATTTTGTGAGAAGTAGTGGGTCTGGAAAGGGGTCCACTTAGCCTCGTGAGGATAATTGAGGAGCTGTTTGAAGGAAATAGCAGCTCCGGTCTAGAAAACCGAGATTAACGGCCGTGGGGATCCGTTCCACTGACCACGCGACACCCTCTGTGCGCTAAAGTTGGCACTAACTTCGCCGACAAGCGGCTGTCGCTCGGTCGGTCGGTCGGTCGGTCAGAAACGCTGACTAGAGTTTGTGGATCGTAATTAATTCAGAGGATCACAGGTTGAGAAACAATAGGGATAGGAATCGAGCAAGTTAGCTCAAGCGGTAACGCTTCTGACTTGTATTCGAGAGGTTATTTTCTGCATGTCTAATGGACACGGGAAAGTTTAAGCAATATATCATGATCGATTTCGTTTATTCGATACATGCATACTATGTTATCGGTTCCCCCTGCAGTGCTAGATGGCATCTGGATAGGGCGCTTCAGAAATTGCTCTTCGCTTGCTTTCATCTAGGCTGTATCCAGCTGCGTGTGTGTCAACATCATGTGAATACTGCAAGCTCATAAAGAAAGTACGGCTTAAAATGAATTACATAACCGATTACTCGTTAATGGGGCCCCGAGGCAATTACTCTTCCTGCTTCAACAGCAAATCATCGTCAGAGTTGAAAGTTGATATGAACGCTTTGATGTGTACATTCGACCATACGGTGCATATTTAAGTAAGTAAAGTAATCCCTGTAACAGGCCGTGGAGGCCCATTGGGATGTGAGATGTTGAGGTTCCCAAATTTTCTAGACAGTCGGCTCATAGATGGCGGCAAGGTTGTCAGCCCTACGCGCTGGCTACGCTTTACCCCCAAGAATATTCCTGGTACTCATTTCTGTCAGAGGCTGAGTCGACCCCAGGACTGGAAGGATTAGGTCAATTGAAAAAAGAAATTCAATGACCACATCGGGACTTGAACCCGCGACCTTCCGGCTTGTAGCATAGTGCCTCAACTACGCTATCACAGTGCATGTTTACCTGCTATAAATACAGTGTGTTCCGTTTATACCTTCCACATTTTAATTAATCATTGCGAACAAATTGTAATAAATTATGGCTTATAATTAACACTAGATGAAAGAAAAACTCAAAGAATTTTATTTCCGTTTTTCTTTGGTGAAGCTACAATATCTGGCCGCGTAGTCCTTGACATGTTAGAAGAATTCCTGTATCCCCAGGTAGCCGATCTGCAGCCTAACATAATCTTCCAACAAGATGGAGGGCCCCCCCCCTCACATTGAGGTCTGGATGTTCGGAGGTCCCTCAATGCCACCTTCCAAGATCGCTGGATTGGACGTGGCGGACCAATTCGGTGGCCACCACGTTCACCGGACGTCACTCCACTCGATTTCTTCCGCTGGGGTTGCGTGAAGGACCGTGTGTTCGTGCCTCCAGTGAATGACCTCCCAGATTTACGAGCTCGCATCCGCGAAACGATTGCTACTGTACCAATGGACATGTTGGAAAGAACGTGGCAAGAAATGGAATACAGATTGGATATTGTTCATGCTACCAGTGGTGCACATGTAGAGGTTTATTAGTATGTCAAATACAATTTTTTTAGTTCTTGATTTCCTGTAGCTTCATTTACTAACCATTCATACTTTCTGTTATAAGATCTGATAAAATGTGGGAGGTTTGAATGGAACGCCCTTTTTGGATTCCGTCAAAGGATTTTTTACACGCAGATAATAAAAAGCTATTTATAGAGTATTTCCTTACGTTTACTTTCGAATGTATTTCGAACAGTTATAATGCAACAGGACTTTGAAGTAAACAGCACAGTGGTAATGATGCTGATTGGTGGTACTGACACTTTTGAACCTCTGGAAGTGGTGCACACACACACAACAAAATTACGCCTTGCGTGCTAACGATGTCAACAGCACGCAACAAAATTATTTGTTACGAGGGCTCTCATGCATCTCATGCAGTGGCCATAGAATCAGCTGATGCGAATCCCTGTGTTTGTGAGTTTCAGAAGTGCCAACATATGTATGTGAAAATCGCTACATAAGCCGGTTGTCTGAATTGTCGATTCCGTATGTGAGGCAAGTAACATTTGAGGCTTTCACGGCGGTGACTATGAAGAAAGCAGTCTTCTGGGATTTGGCACTCTGTATATGTGGTGTTAACCGACGTTTCGGAGGAACGTATCGCCTCCATCTTCAGGGTAGAAGGAAAAAATATAAGGCTTTTAACGGTTCTCGCCGTCTCTTCGCTTGCGGATTTCTTATATTTTTTTCCTTCTACCCTGAAGATGGAGGCGATACGTTCCTCCGAAACGTCGGTTAACACCACATATACACGGTGCCAAATCCCAGAAGACTGCTTTCTTCAAGTAACATACCGTTGCGGGGTCGTTGTTACATACTTGCGTCAGATTCAAATGGAGTTTTTGTTGGACAGGCGAAACTTGGGGGATATAATCCACTTAAATAGTGACATAGCACACATTTTTCAACACGTGTGCCATCTTCGCATCCAATTTTTAGTTACAATTATTCTATCCAGTACTTTGCATAAATTTAGTGTGCATACCGAGTGGATACACTGGTGTGTTATATACACTGTATATACTACATTGTGTTGACAGGAATATTATCTATAGTGATTTACACAACAGGGTACAACAAAATATGATTATTTTATTTATTTTCAGCTGCCACCTGGAAAGGAAAGTGACCATGGGCGAGAGAGATGGAAAGACTTCACTTTTGATCATTCCTATTGGTCATTTGATGCAACAGAGTCTCATTATGCTTCTCAAGAAAAGGTTTGTATGTTTCTGTGTTTGTTTGATGTAAAAGTTTTAAATGCAAGAAAGAGAAAATTATAAACTGCCTATCTTGTACAATTTTCATCAATCACAGAACAAGAAATTCATGTAAGATATACAGTAGGATGGATTTTAGAGTTACAGTATGGTGCAAATATGACTACCCTGCTTACATAAAATCTTACTGGATGTTAGAAGTTTGTGCATTTGAAATTATGTTTTCTTGTGTTTTCAAAGCCAATGAACTTAGATGCGGATGTATGTAAAGAGGTATGAGTTGTATGCAGGAAGAGAGTTTCTCTCTTCTCTCATAGTCATAATTACAAAGTTAATGCCCACTTGGACCTGATAGTAAATTTAACTTGTATTTCTGAAAATGTACTGAGTGTAAATGGAGAAATTAAGTTGCAAAAATCTTTTGTATTATAATCTTCATATGATATTTTTACAGCCATTAAATTATGGTGTTTATGATGAGCTGAGAATTTATTGTTAAGAGAAGAAACAGATACACAAAATACAAGATTCAAGGTTCTCACACCTTTATCTATTTATAACCTTGTACAGGCAGTGGCAGATGAAAGTATAGGTGAAGTAGACCTGTGACTTGGGCTGATATGGCTTATGGGGCTTCTGTTGGTTTCATTATATTTCATTATATAAGTGGTTTTAATATTTCAGGTGTACAAAGACTTAGGGACTGATGTGATTGAAAGTGCATTTGAGGGATATAATGCCTGTGTGTTTGCCTATGGACAGACTGGCAGTGGCAAGACATTCACCATGATGGGCACACCAGTAAGTAATTTGTGATTTTAATTCTTTCTACAGGGATGAACCAGTTGCTGAACTTCCTGATTATATCTGACCAGTGCTTTGATGCAAGCTTTCTTGGACTATAGTTCATGTATGGGCTCCTTGTACCCAACTTGCATCCAAACAATTGTACTTAATATTCTGGGCTCTGTTTTGCCTATTACTGCACCCCAAAAGAATGAAATAGATGATCAGTAATTGACAACAATGGGCACAATGATGTGCAGTCATAAGAGGACAAAGGATGTTTTACAGGAGGCTACAGTGGCTTGAAAGAGCCAAGACTCCTCGCATCCATAGTGTTTCAGTAACACCAGACTCTTTTACATTTTATTCATGATGGTTATCAAATAATGGAGGATACTAACAAGCACTGTCACATCTAGTTAGATAGACATGACAAAAATGAAAGTTCCTCTTGTTTATAGCTAGTATAATGTGCAGAAAAATAAGCACTGTAATTTGAAGAATAATTTTCATTGTTCTTAGTGGTCACATTTAATGTCTCTAGATACAAAACTATAATT